ACAAAGACTTCCACATTCTGATAATAAGATTGTTTGAATATACAAAGAGAAAAGAGTACATATACATTACTTCAGTCAAGAAGCCTTAAAAAAACCTGTTAATGTTTAAAAAAAAAAACAGTTAACGTTAAATGTTAGCCTTTGAAGACTCCCTTTCCTGGTAAATTTTCAGGTGTTAGATTTTAGTGTGTCTACTGAAAACCTTTCTTATTTCCTCCCCGTGTTCGGCCAGCAGCTCCCCTACGCTTCCTGGTTCTTCATAGCAGCCAAGATGGTCTGCAATCAGATGAAGATTATTAAAAGTTACAACCACCACAACGTGCAACTACCACGCCTTTCTCATATGATTCATGACAAACTATCTTAATGGATCTTGTTTCACAGACTTTGCAAGTAATTATTATGGCAAGATCATGGCTTGAGGACTTTTTCTAGTGGGATATGACAGTATGCTTCACAGCAGAGTCTTCTGTCTGGGATAATATCACCGGCTGAAGCAGAAATGGGCTGTAAACTGCTAGCTTCGTGATTTTCTGCATCCTTGTTTACTGGGGGAGTTGAATTTGCTTGAGTTTGAAACCATCTGCCATATAAAGTTGCTTCTGCTGCTTAAGAATGTTGTTGTAGAAGGTAAGAATTGTGAAGGGAACTCTGCCAGCAACAATTTAACTTTCAAATTAGGAAAGCATAAATTGCACGTGAACTAAAAAGTATAACAAGACAAAAAGTTCTTTTGAAAATGCATATAGCATCAATTAGGCTTGTGACAAAGATAAACAAAAATCAGAAACAATCTACGACTCATACTGGGAAGAGTTAAGGGAGGATGAAGGTAGTAGTTGTATCAAATTGATGAAAAGAACTTCAAATCCACTCCCTTTGCCTGGCCTCGCAATCCCAAATGCACCAAAAAGCTTAATGAAAATAATCCTAGTCTTGAAAGGCTAATCTCTCCACTATGACTTCCATGGTTTTCCCATCTCAGGGGTCTCAGGACACCCAATTCTATCTATTTTTTATTTTTGTGGGCATGATCAGTGGGGCAAAGTTTTATTGTAGCTGAAGCATCCAAAGATATGCTTATAAGCATATTAGTGAAATAATTAGTTAAGTACCCTCAATCCCTCTCTCATTCACCAACTATATTCTCACTCAATTTCAACCAGGAATCTACACTTCTTGATGCTTATGAAGAAGTCATTCCTAGCAAAACTTGAAAAATGGATATTCCAGAATTTCTTAATGTTCTCTATAAAATCCAGTTTCAAAGAGATTGTTACTTCAATGAAACTAGGAGAAATATATATTTTCAATAGAACTGGAAGCTGACAGTGCATAACAAAGCAACCCAATTAATAACCGTAGCACAAGAAATTACAAAACCCTCATCTTTCACTTCTCCTCATATGAAGTATCTGCAATTTAGATAAAGAGGAAAAAACCCAAGAATTCAATCTGCATAAACCAGTCATTATCCCTCAAATCACCGAAAACCCAATTCCATTATTGAATGAAAAACTTAAACCCGTAAGAGAAATCTCACAGTTAACATGCTTTGATTACTGACTTCAGATGGCAAAAAGAAACACATGTATCATATGTTCATAGTCAAAGGGAAAACTTCATAGAGAGAGAAGTCGAGAAAAGGTACCTCCGAGAAGATTGTTCTGAGGCTGATCAAGGGCAAGAACAGAGAGTGCTCGCCTGATCTGCATCAACCTAGCCACCACCGCCATGGTTCTCTGAGCCGCCTAGGTTGGAGTACTTAACAAACGCACCAACGGTCTAATCTTTTTAACCCTC